TGCTAATTGGTGTGGGAGGACCTGCTCACTGTTGGCTGCATCATGCTCTAGGGTTGGGGTCTTGGACTGGATAAAAAAGAGGAGAGCTAGCTCAACACTGACAAGGGTTAATTCATTGCTGCTGATTGTGCATTTAATGTGACCAGTTGCTTTGGGTTTCTGCCGCCTTGATTTTCCCACACTGACGGACTATACCTTGGAATCACAGCAGCTCTGATTCAAGATGGAGACCATTATGTCCAACCCAGAGAGACCCTCTGAACCACAGTGAGATGCAGGAACTCTATATTTTTACTCTTTGAGGAACCACCCCATAGAGGGGAGTGCCTTTTTGCATTGCCATCCCAGGGCACAGGTCTCTAATATCTGCAACACCTCCCAGCACTTCTTATTTTCCATCTTCTATATTTTAAAATAGCATCCATCCCTGAGGTTATGAAAACCTCACCATCATTTTTATTTGACTTTTTCATTTTCTTAATAAGCATCCTTCTGTGGGCTTATGGGTAATTTATATCTTCATTGGTGAAATGACTATAACCTTTTTTTTTTTTTCCCCTCAGTGATAAGGACTGAACCCAGGCTTATGGACATGCAAGGCAGGGGCTCTGCTGCTGGCCCATACTCCAGCTGCTGCCCACTTTTGAAATGGGGTTTTTGTATTTTTCTTGCAGAACAGAGGTATTTTCTCTATAACTTGGGAACTAATTCCTTATCAGACACATGATTTAAAAACCCTTTTACCGGTTTGGTGGGATGTCTTTTCACTCTCCAGATCACTCTTTGATGCACTTAAGTTTTTAATTTGCTGATGTCCAATTAATTTTCTTGTCTTTAACTCTCTGTGCTTTGGGTACCACAGCCCAAAAAACAAAGTCAAATTCCATTGAATGTACTGAAAACTAAATGAAGGTTTTCCTGTATGTCTTGTCCAGAAGGTTCACTGTTTCAGCTCTTGGCCTAGGTTTGTGGTTTAGTTTGAGCGTGCTATTGCACAGCGTATAGCTCTTTCGCACACATCTCCACTCACAGATCTGGCTGTACCATTGTTCCAGCACTGTCTGTTGAAAATACCAACCCTTCCCCATGACCACCTGTTCTGGTTTGAATATGAACTGTCCCCTACAGGTTAGTGTGTTTGAGCCTTCAGTGTCCCCTGGTGGCACTGTTTTGGGAGGCTGGGGAACTTTTAGGACTTGTGGAACCTTGGCTGGAGGAGCAGGCCACCCAGGGCACGCTTTTGAAGGTTACGGCCCCACCCTGCTTTCCAGTCCTGTTTTCTGCTTTGTGATCTCGAAGATAAGAGGAGCTGATGTTTCCAACCCCATCACTACTAATGAACCCATGTCAGCTGCTCTGGTGCACTGTACCATCAGAAATTGGGAGCCAAAATACTCCTCCCCTAGGCATTTTGCCACAGGAAATCATACATGTGAGTCCTGTCCTAAACATGCCCCTCAGCCTTCTCCTCACACCACTGTCACCTAAGCAATGTGACTCCCACAGGAGGGTGATAATAGTTCATCCAGATATCTCTCAACTAGACTGTCATGGCCTGCAGGGTGTAGGCCCCTACAGCAGGTATAGAGTTCAGAGTCAGCATGGATCCACAGATTTATTTCTTCACACACATCTGTTTCCATTTCTCTGTTTTCCCTTTCATCAGCTACACCATGGGGAACCTTCGCATTCTTTGCTCCAGCCTTGCTCACTCAACACACACACACACACACACACACACACACACACACACACACACACACACACACACCTACATACAAAAATGTCCAAGCACAGAGCTGAATTCGCTTCATGTCATGAAGATTTCAAGACCCTATCTCTGATTTTTTTTTCTCGTTGTCTTCTTCCTTCTCCTCAAGAGAAGCTGTTCTCATTTCTTACCTTGTCCCAGGCCTGCCAGGCCAGGCCACCCTCTGCCCCTCCTGCAGATTCAGATCCTGTAATGTGCCAAACACACACACACACACACACACACACACACACACACACACACACACA